ATGAGGGCAACAAATGTATAGATGTGCTTTACACAATTGATCTATGTATTGTGATGAATTTTATGAGCCCCAATAAACTGATTTAAAAAAAAAACAAAAAGATAAGGCATGGGTGGGGGCTGGCAGCACCTCTGTCCATAAGAGCTGAAATCTGGAGCCGCCTCCTCCGGCAATGGGTAGGAAAACGGACAGACTAGAAACCACATGTTTCTATAGTCGAACCCTACGGCGCCATAAAGCATGCAGATTCGGACCATGGAGAAATCTCACAGACTCCATGTTGGCTGAAAAGATCCAGAGTGAAGAGGAGAGTGCCTGATCCTGTTTTTTGGGAAGTGCAAGGAAAGACAGGGCTAGTCAGTGGTGACAGGAAGTGGGAAGGCGGTGGTATTCATGTGAAGGAGCCTGAGGAAACCTTGACCTGGAGTGCCGGGGGTGGGCACAGGGGTGTAAACAGAGGTACGCGTTAACTGATCAGAGCCCGTCAGATGAGTGCACTCCATGAATTTTATTCCTTATTTGATCTGTTAGCGACTGTATGTATGCCTTTTAGACCCCAGCCCACGTCGGAAATCAGGAATCGTAGCCGAGACCGTGCGTCTGGTTGCCCTGTGCCCTTGCAGACCCATTGCGCTCTCTCTCTGCAGGGACGGTTACAAGATGTTCTTCAACATGCTCTACCGGCACAGCATTCCCCTCTTCATCTTCTCCGCGGGCATCGGGGACATCCTGGAAGAAATCATCCGACAGATGAAAGTTTACCATCCCAACATCCATATTGTGTCGAACTACATGGATTTCGATGAAAACGTAAGGGGTGGGGACCCTAAGCCGGGAGGCTGCACCCAACCTGTCCACCCTAACCTGGAAAAAGAAGGCATGCTGCTTTCTTTGCCTTCAGGCACTTCTTTTATTTACTTACTTGTTTTTCCGCCAGCAAAAGCCAGGTTCCTTCCGAAAGATCACATCTTTGGTGTTTGGATGACGACAGCCAACTCTGGCTGGTGGAGCAGCCCAGCCCCCTGCTCACGGTCATGGGTTGCTTATTATCCGAGGCGCTGAAAGGGCTTTGAGCTCGACGTGTTATTGGAGGGCCAGGAGTGGGCAGCTCCCATTCAGCCCCTTCTGACTTCGTGCTCGGAAGCCAGTGGCCACAGCTTTCATCGCTTTGACCAGAGGTTAAGACGTGGCCTGCAGCTGAGGGTTAGCGTGCTTGTCCCTGAGCAGCCCGTGCATCCGGAGTAGAGGGGCAGCAATATCTCGTGGACCTTGTTCATGTAGACCAGGGCTTATTTTTCTTTAAAGGGCAAGATAGTAAATATTTTGCATTGAGTTGGTGGTGGTCATGGTGACAGGAATGTGGGAACAGCCGGTCGCTGTCAGGCTGACTGCTCAACGCTGTCTTGGGAGCACAGAAAAGAAGCCACGGGCAGTAAGGCAACCAATGAGCAGGCCAGATGGGACCTGCAGGCTGTTGTTGGCCAGCCTCTGATTTAGACTGTAGTGAATTTGGGCCTTCGCAACGGCTTTCTGGATTTCCTGTCCACTGTGACAGAAGACGTTGGCCAACTGGCCCTCGGTGGGTGCCTGTAGTTCTCCTGTCTGTCTCTCCTCTCGACTGTTCAGGGCTTCCTTCAGGGATTCAAGGACCAGCTCATTCACACATACAACAAGAACCTCTCCCTGCATGAGAACTCCAACTACTTCCGGCAATTTCAAGACAAAACCAACATTCTCCTTCTGGGGGACTCCCTGGGGGACCTCACCATGGCCGACGGGGTTCCTGGTGTGGAGAACATTCTCAAGATTGGCTTCCTAAATGACAAGGTGGGCAAGGGACGGGGAGGCCCCTCTCTGCTGCTTTCTCCTCCAGAATGAACACCTTCTCTGTACGCAATCCGTCCCTGACGGTAGTGGGCAGTGCAAAGACAGGAGCTCTTATGGAGATAAGAGAGACCCAGCTGGGTGCTCACCGTGTGCCAGGACCCAGCATGTCAGAGAAAGGCCATGCTGGGTATCAGGTCCTGTTCTAAACCCAGCACAGACATTAACCCATTTCACCCTTCCTACAGCCCTTCCAGGCAGGGACTCTTGTCATCCCCATTTTACCAACGGGGAAACCAAGGCAAGGAGGTTAAGGAATTTGCCCAAGATCATAGGGCAGGACTGGATACCCCCCAAAATAATAGTAAAATAACCAAACTCACTGCCATCGAGTTGATACCGGCTCCTGGTGACCCCGTGGGGCAGAGCAGAACTGCCCCGGGGAACTGCCCCGGGGGTCCCCAAGACTGGTCAGGGGAGTAGAATGCTCCGTCGTCTTTCCCCCCAGGCTCCATCCCACTGCTCTTAAACCATCCTACCTTTGGGCCAGTAGAGATGGGAGACGGCGGTGTCTGGGGCAGGGGGTTCTAATTTAGGGAAGGAATATACAAGGAAACACCAGAGGCTGGTGGGAAGAAGGCCCCAAAGCTGCCCAAAGAATGGCACGTCAGTGTGTGTCCCATCCCCAGCCAGGAGGTGTCCAATTCTCCAGGGTGCTTGTACCGGTCAAAGTTCAGCCCAGGTAGATTGGAGGCGGCATCTGCTTTTGGGGTCTTAATCTTCATTCCTGTCCTTTGGACCCTGACCCAGAGAGGCATTGGCACAGTCCCTGCCCGTGGCCCATCCTTGTCTTCAAAGAACAGGTCCCTGTGGCCTTGAGTACTTCTCCCAGCTTGGTCCTTCCTTCCATCTTGCAGAAGGGAGCTGGGGCTGGCTGCATCAGCTATGCCCTGCCCCGCCCCCTGCCCTGAAGCCTGAGGGAGCTGGGCACTGGGGACCCTCTCAGATTCCTCCCATCCCCCCGGGCAGGTGGAGGAGCTGCGGGAGCGCTACATGGACGCCTATGACATCGTGCTGGAGAAGGATGAGACCCTGGACGTGGTCAATGGGCTGTTGCAGGACATCCTGCACCAGGGGGACCAGATGGAGGTGCCAGGCTGTTGAGTGCCAGACTTGGGGCTGCCACCTCGGCCTCCACACTCCCCCGAGGCAGCTCCTGCCTGTGTGTCTGCAGAGAAATCCAGGGCACAGGGGCCGCCTGAACCTGTGGTCCTCTTTCCTCTCCCCATTCCCTACAGCGCCTTCTCCCTCCACTGTGCTCCCCAGACCTAGTGGAGGACCTGCTGGGCCGGAAGGGTAGCCAGAGCTGCTTCAGAGGAACTGCCAACCTGTCGGCTGTCTGTGCTCCCGGGATCACCCAGTCCAGGCATTCTTTATTCCCCAAAGTTTTAATTGTCGAAACGTGTTCTTCATACAGCTCTGACATGTGAAATGGATCAAAATTAAAAAAAGGAGCGAACACAGGTGTATGGGGACCCGGGCAGAGCCTGTCTCTCTTGATCTCTGAAGCTCGGGAACAGCCAAGAAGCCTCTGCACTCCCAGAGGACAGAGAGAACCGCCCCGTCACCCAGGGGACCACCTGAACACAGCTAGGTGGGGCCTGTGGGGATGGAGGGGCAGGGATGGGGCTCAGGCCTGGGCCTACAGTGGGTGAACTTCTCTGGGGAAAATCAAAACACTGTGCTGCAAAATCGTAGAAACGCGTTACCCAAACCTCTCCAAATGTGACCCTGCTGGTGCTGGACACATCCTTGCCCCAGCTTGGTCAGGATGCTTCTGAAGGGGGCCTTTCCAGCTCGCTAGCCCCTCCCCCAGAGTCAGCCTGTTCCCTCTTGATGTTGTGAGTTTGGGGAGCAAAAAGCAGCCTAGCGTGGCATGGCCAGGGCAGTAGGGCGGACAGGGTAGTTTTCCAAAGAAATTCTCCATGGGGCAGCCCTTGCCACCTGGAAGAATGAGCAGGTGCGTTGTTGCGATGGAAAAATCCCCTTGGGGCATAAGGTTCCTAGCCTTTTACTTACCCAGGCAGTTTTCCATTGGCTTAAAAAGGTCTTCCTGATAGGCCCCCTTGGTCATCCTGTATTCTTTGAGACCATCTTATCAAGATATCACCCCTTTAGAATCCCCCAAAACAGTCTCTTGGAACAGTCCGAGCTGACTTTTCTGTCTCGAATTTAATTGGCCCGGCTGATCCCTCAGAAGCCCCTCTGCTGACTGCCCTTTTGGGAACAAAAAGAACCCTACTGATAGCAGGCGAGGAGCCCTTGTGGCATAGTGGTCTGCGCACTGAGCCGCCAACCACACGTCCGGGGTTCGAACCCACCAGCCATTCCAGGAGAAACAGGAGGCTGCCTGCTCCCATGTGATTCTGTCTGAAACCCAAAGGGGCAGGTCTGTTCCTATTCTGCCCCATAGGGTGGCTGTGAGTCAGCATGGGTTCAGTGACAGTGTTTTGAGAATGAAACTAAAATGAGCCTGGTGGCGTCCGACAGACTACTCGCCAGGTCAGTGGTTCAAACCCTTAGCCACTCCATGGGGAAAGATAAGCTTATCTGCTCCCATGAAAATGCACAACCTCAGACACTCGATAGAGGGTCAGTGGGCCAGAACCCTCCCATGGCAGGGGGTTGCTTGACTGACGAGACTAAGACAAATAGACTCCCGACGCAACTTGTCTGCGACTGCCAGTGATCACTGACACCTCTGGAAACGCACGGCAACAAACCAGTGCGTGTGGGAATGTGCGTGGGGGAGCTAGCGTGTAGGAACTAGCCCCCTGGTGGCGGGGCTTTTTGACTTGGCCTCCTGTTCTGGGGCAGCTGATAAGCTTAACATTCAGTCTGAAATCCATTCCATTGGGGTGGCCTTATCTGCAGACCCCTGCCCCACCAAATCCCCCACACCCCACGTAAGTATTCCCAAGAAAGTCATGAGGCCGTGCACCTTTCCTGGGGTCCTTGGCTGCTCCTCCCCTTGCCTCCTGGGTGGGCCGAGGCCACCCAAATGGACTGCCTTAAGGGGGATTGGGCTGGTATGGGAAGAAGGCTCTGGGTGCAGAGGACAAGCTAAGCGGCTTCAGCCTCGGATGGCCTTTGGGCTCCCTGTTGACCCATGGCCCAGCATGAGCTGACTTCTCTGTGGGGCGGGCCGTGGGTTTGGGCTTTGCTTGTGTTTCCCGTGCAGGGTCACACAGCTCAGGGGCTTTGTCCGTGATGTCACCCTTCACGGTGCTGAGCTCTCGTGGTCGGTGCTGTTTCCACTCGGCATGGCCCTCATGGCGGTGATTTTTCAGAAGCATAGACTTCCGGGAGAGAGACTTTCTTTGTTGTTTAAACCAATTTGCTATTGAGTATCAGTGTTGGGGTCAGAAAGTATCTCAGGGCGGTAGTCGGGGGACAAGGGGTAGTTGAGGATGTTGAGTTGGGGAGGGGGTATCCTCCAGTCTCAACAGCTCTAGGAAGTCTGCTTTCCTTTGTGTTGGTGTGCTACAATCCTTGCATCGATCGCATCATGTTCTGCTTGTTTCTAGGACTTTGAGGCTCTGGTCCACGTTTGCCTCCCATGCTCTCGGGTCCTTGGACTGTGGGTCTCGTTAGCGTGGTCAGTAGCCGCAGTAGCCGGGCCCCATCTAGTTCCCTGGGTCTCAGGGTCGGGGCGGCCATGGTTTGTCCTCCGGGTCTTGAGGGGGCTTTGGAGAGGCCCGTCCCCCGCTGTTTCCTTCCACTTGTGAAGGTGCTCCTGCTGCTGGAGGTCGGAAGGGAGTGTTTCCCGAGGGCCTGCGGTGTGCCGGCGAGCTCTGGCCACACCGAGAATCTCAGGAATAGTTCTCAGTGTGCAGAGCGCTCAGAAGAGAGGAGTAACTTGACCACACATCGCAGCTAGGAGCTTGAGCCAGTGCACAAATGGAGCATTTGTGACCCAAGCCCCGGCCCGAGGCTTCCCTGGTGCCTCATGTGGCTTCCTCAGGGGCCAGCTGCCCTGTCAGGTATCCGGTGGGAGGTGGCAGCCCGTCACTTAGGCCCTGAGGAGCTTTCTGGATGCTTTGGGGCTAGGGGGCAGTCCTGTGTCAGTGGACCCCGGGAGAAACCCATGGTCAGTGTGAATCTAGCCCCACCATACACCAGCCCCTGTCCTCTGTCCATGGGCAGTCTCATCATGGGAGGGGAGGGTGATCTCCCTGGCATTGACCAGCATTCAGATGGGCATGCCAAGGTGGACAGCGAGGCTGCAGCTGACCGACGGCTCCCCCACGACCCTGGAGGTTTGAGCTCAGTGACTGGCAGGAGGGAGGCTGGCATGTGGCAGTGGCCGGTGGCCAGTGGCAGGCAGAGGTGGGGCCGTTGCATCGGAAACCACAGCGGAGAGGCGTCCTTCAGCCTGGGTGGGTTGGGTTTGTGGTCAGGGACCTTGCCTTTCCCATTCAGCTGGGCCCTCGGGACCAGGAGCATCTCCGTGCTGCCCCCCAGTCTCCATTGGATCTCCCCACCGCACCCTCCAGCCCCCTCCCCACACCTGGGCTCCCTCCCTCCGGAGGCTGCAGGCAGGAAACTAGAGGGAAGAGGCTGGGCCCAGGGACCATGCCTCCAGCTGCTACGGTCAGGGCAGCAGCCCAGCCTAGCCCCACAGTCCGCACACACCACCACAGTCTGAGGAGCTCCGTTTCTTCTTTATTTGACACCAAGGAGAAGGATCTGACTCCCACCCCTCGGCCCCAAACAAGCCCCTCTTTCAAACTAATCCCAGCACAAACCCTAAGGGTGCGGCAGCCCTAAGACCCACCGAAGACGCCTGGTGGTGCGAGGGTTCAGCACAGCACCAGAAGTTTGGCGGTTCAAAGCCGCCAGCTGCTAGAAAAAAGACAGGGCAGTCTGCCCCGGGGATATTTCCAGCCTGGGAACCCTCAGAGCAGTTCCCCTCTGTCCTATGGGGGGACCCGAGGTGGCAGTGAGTGGAGGGGAAGGAAGATCCATTTGGGCAGGGTCCCGAGAGCCTCCCCTTCAAGGACACTTTGAGAAAGGCACCTTCCTTTGTGGGAAGGCCACCCCAAACCCAGGCCTGGACCCCAGCACTTTGGGCCCTCAGCCTTGCTGGGGGCAGTGAGGTGGGTGAGCAGGGGGAGGTAGGGCTGCCCTGCAGCCACCCCCTTCCCTAGGAACCAGCGAGTGCTGGGGGAGGGTGGTCACCTGGGGCGGGGGAGCTGCCAGAACAGATGGATGGGGGGGCAAAGGGAATGACAACAAGGTGTGACTAGAGATGAGTCCCTGCAGTGCCCGGTGTGGGAGGGGAGGGAGGGGCTGGCGATGCCCCATCCAGTCCCCCAGCTGGCTTTCAAACTCCACGACTCCACAGGGGGTTTGGGGTTGGAGGGACTCGAGGACTGTACTGTGGAGTGTCACCCAGGGCTCTAGGGAGACCAGTGTCGGCTGCTCCGTGAGCTGGGCCGGCTGGGGTGGGGGTGACTAGCGGGGTTTCTTCTGAGAGGCCCAGGTGCCCACACGCCCTTCAGAGCTCCTCGTGGACCCGCTCCCGGTCCTCGTCCGACTTCAGCTTCAGCTCCTCGGCCGTGACCTTGCCGTCCAGGTTACGGTCCTGGTTCTGGAACATGTCCCCTATGGTTTTCTCAGGGTCCTGGCCGGGCATGAGGCGCCCCTTGCCCTCTTTCACTTGAGCCTTGATGAAGGTGGCAAACTGGGGGAGGGCAGAGGAATG